GGTGAACTGTTGCATCCAATCAGATGCAGTCGCTGTTCAGGTATTCTGACAGCCAGGGACTTAAGCTGTCAGAATACAGTAGTCGGCAAGAGAGGTTTATCATCCACACTGGGGATGGAAGAAACGAGCGGTTTTCCCTCGCTGATGAAGGAAAAACTAGAAGTGATGTATATCCGTCATTCTTTATAAATATACAACTTTACAATGCTTAGCATTGCTTCACCGTGTATACAATGACTTTACAGCCAAATAAATCCTTTTTGTTTGTTTTGATAAATGAAGGTTGTATAATATGCAGCAGATACATTTTTTTCTGAGATAAAACATATTAAATTCAACTGTATCTAAAGACAAAGCTTTCTTTTTTCAATTTTTTTGGATAGAGATTGGAATTTTTTGTCCTATTCAAGGGGATCTCCCTTTACTTCCTGTCCCGTAGACACAACAGGAAGTTTATAATAATATTATTATTCAGGATTTATATAGTGCCAACAGTTTGTGCAGCGCCTTACAAGAGGAGGAAAGTACAGTTACAAGACAAATCAAGACAAGATGGTAAGGAGGGCCCTGCCCGTGAGAACTTACAATTTAAAAAAAGGTGTTGCTAATCTCCCCTTATACAGTATGTCCCCATTGAAAGATATCCCTGCTATTCCTGTTTTGGTGGCAACGTAAAATGTTACCTATTCCCAAACCGACAGTCCATAGAGGCATTGATCACCAGGGCACATGAGGGAATCTCCTGAGCAGGGACATGGACAGCAATGACAACCTAACAGGGGTTCTTATCCCTCCACACACTATCCACAACTAATAAGAACGTTGCCTTTTAGATATACTTTGTTTTACTGATTTATTCCTTGTTCCATGTTTTGTTTACATGTATTAATAACGTATGACTAAGGCTGACCATACCTGTTGTAATTTGTACTATCTACTTTAGGTCTATCAACAACTGTTGTTCAGAGGCCTGCCTATCTGGATAAATGGCTGAATAGATTGAATTAGGGCCTCGCTATATACAGTATATTTGTTGGTAACTATACTCATAAATGTTACACTCTGTACTATCTCCATTAAGCCCGCCATACAATGTACAGTCGGCTTGTGTGGCTAGCTTTAAGACTGTGTGCAGATTGTACAATCTCTCCTTTCGCGTTTCCAAAACCATGTAATACAAGGACATATCTCCACAATCAATTCAGTTAGTATCCAATCAGGCAGGCCCTTGCACTACATAGTTAATGGTAGATTTTAAAGGAGATTGTACAGTGTATGGTCATCTTTAGGTTTACCAACCCTGTGTAATATAAGGGAACTTAAACAATTCATTCAGTTTGTATCATTTCAAACAGGCCCTCGCACTATATCATTGGTTGATCTAAAGTAGATTGTGCAATCCGATGGTATACTGTATGACCACCTTTTAGATTTACCAATACTATGTAATATGAGGAATTACCTAAATCGTCCAGTTTGTATCCAATCTGACAGGTCCTCCTATGACGGTTATTGGCAGATCTAAGGCTGATGTTAGGTGACTGTTGGTGATCCTGCTGCTGGTGAGGTGTCAGGATCACTGCGAGACTGCCTGTCTGTCCCTGCGGAATCCTTTTTTTTTTTTTTTTCTGTAGCTGAGGCGGCAAGATGTTGCACTTATCGTTGGTGATTGAGTATCAATAGTATTTTGACCAGTGAATATTCGCCATCTCCCTGCATCTAGCTATAAAGGGAGCCATTCCATGGGGACAGACGGCCTCTTTATAGTGGTCCTTCAGCTGGCGATTTGTCTCTATCGAAGAAATTGTACAATTAGATTGTATCCTGAGTGTGGTGAGCATATAGGGGCTCATGGTACACTTGCTATCCGGTCTCTGACATCTTGCCAGAGATGGGATTGCTAATTGTCCAGAGAAAATACCCTTTTCCTTGTCTGCTCCCTCACTGATACTGAGCAAGGTGTCACTCCCTCATTGATGGAAATTCTGCAGAATATGACTCGCCAGTGACAGAGCAGCATGTTGCCAGCAAGGGAGCAATGCATGGACACAAGTGAGTATTCCTCTGCCCTGTAGAGCGACCCTTTCTCTGGCAAGTTGTCACCAGCAGGACGATTGCAAGAGTGCCCTGGCCTTAAGGCACGCCTGGGAGCCAGGTCACCAATGCTTCTTTGAAATTGCAGCCGGCACCTAACTTGAAGTTTTCTCTAGTTGTCAATAGAGCTGACTCTGAGGGGGAAAAAAATTGGATTGGACAGACTGGCTGCTGAATTTATATTTCTCATCCTCTGCCCTAAGCTGTCTGTACATTGCTTAAGTTTCGTGTTCTTCTTGGTTACTATGCAAATATTTGGAAGTTTGCTTTCTGGAAACAGATTACTTTGACTCGTTTTGTGTCATGCTTGTAATCCTGTTATCTCATGAAAAGTCTCCTGTTAATCTTTTCTGACAATTGGTAATCCTTTGGATACTGTAGTAAGGCTGATATAATTTGGGTGGAGTATTGGACATTGTTTTCAGATGACAGTATGGAAGAGAGGTGGCAGATACACAGCTCCATGCGCTCTGCTTACATTCTTTATTACACAGGATGGTAAATGTAAATGGTTCACGATCATGTCATCTTCCTGACTCATTAGGCTACACTTACAGGGGTGGCTGGATTGCAACATTGAGATGTGGCAGCACACCGTGCTATGGCTACATCATGCAAACTGGGCAAATAGCTGTGTTTAGTTTGTGTGTGTGGGGCCAGAAATGCAATCCCTGGATGCAGACAGTTTGCGTCCAAGGCTGCTCAGAGCACCTAATCACGTGTAACGGAGTACAAATCTGGCCACACCTAACCACACATAGCTTGTGCATGGGATGAAGCTTTTCCACTTGCTGGGACAAGGCCAATCACCCGTGTAAATGTAGCCTTAGGCCCCTTTCACATGGGCGACGTCCGTTCCGTCTCAGCAGAGGATTTATCAGAACAGAGACGGGATGTCACGTGTGACCTCTGTAGATAGATGATAGATGATATTAAAGTCAATGCTGTTTATTGACTGAGATAACACACATCTCCTTAGCGACGTTTCGAGACCATGCGGTCCCGTCCTCAGGCAAACGGAGTGTGACTCTCTCTGTTTGCCTGAGGACGGGACCGCATGGTCTTGAAACGTCGCTAAGGAGATGTGTTATCT